AAAATTAAAAAAAAGCTTTGATAACAATAAACTTATTTTGAGAGTAAGATTTTTTATGGAAATATTTTGACATTCAGCTTTTTAAGTCTATATCTTAGCATCTCTTCACAAAATACTGTGGCCCTCTTGGCCAGGAAGCTGAACTACATTGAAGGACGAAGGGTGCAGTTGATGGGTGTGGTTTCTTTGCACTGTTGAGAGGGTATCAGTCTTCAGTTTGGGGGATTCCCTCTGAGCCTCCCTCTTTGCTTAAGTCCAGTGTTGAGGACTAGCTGTTTAGCTGGAAGCCAATTCTGGCCTCCCAGGTTTGGCGTGGAGATGTCCACCATGGGCCACCATGTTGGTCCTAGCTTGGAGGCCTCCTTGCTAGGAAAGGTACACCCAGCAACGTCCCCAGAGCCATGTCTGGTGCCTTCTGGATATGCCAGTGTATTCCCACCACCCATTTACCAGACCGCAGCTGGAGAGGGTGCCTGCCTGGGGAATTTTAAATGCTTATTTGCCTACAATCTGGCTTGAGCAAAAGTGTGGGAGGGCATTCAAGTGGTGAGAGCCACATCAACCCATACGCTCCAGTCTCAGGCTCAGGGACCTAAACTTTGGAGAACTCAGGATGATCTGAGTTTAGCTTGTCTAACTGAAAAATGAAACTGTGGCTGGAGTTTTGAGATATATAGCGTGTGAGACACATAAGTGATTCTGGCTACTTCTAAGTATACTTTAAGAAAAGCCATAAGCACACAGAGGGGTAGAATACCCTGAGCTGTGTGTGCAAAAGTGTAGCAATGGAGTGAAAAAAAAAAAAAAAAAAAAGAAGCCAGATTTCTTAGATGGTATCTTTTTTGTTTTGGAGACAGGTTTCACTGTGTAGTCTAGGATGGCCTTGAACTCGCTTATGTAGCGTAGGCTCACCTCAAACTCATGATGCCTCTTCTGTCTCAGCCTCCCAAGTGCTGGGGTTATAGGTGTACACCACCATGCCTGGCACGAGACAGTAGAGACTATCATCCATCTTTCTGGTGATCTCATACTAAATGCAGGGTCATACTAGCCCTGTTATGTTCTGGGCTTCTGGCAGAGTTATGCGTCTACTTCTCTTATATGGTTACTCGTGGATCTTTTTGATTGACCACAATCAAAAAGATTTAATTTAATCACACTATTATACTTGGGCTTACTAGCTACCACAAATTGCTTATGGACTATAATACAAATGAATGTCTACTCATTGCTTATCTTTTGTGCAAAGATACAGTTTTGGAATTGATATAGAATGTCCAAAAAGTAACTATTATGATCTTATTCCTATCCTCCAAGTTTTAAGCAGGATCTTGAAAGGTGAATTTCCTTTTTTTCAAATTGTTGCTTTCTTTCTCGGGTTTTATCTGGTGGTTGATTCTCCTCAGTTTCCCAAAGCCCCATCTGGATCACACTGGGGAAGGAAAGTGGTCATTCCTAGCCCGCTTCACCCCATATCCGGGCACTGGCCATGCGCTGGGGGCGTCAGGACGGTAATATGAAAGTGTGGCGATGTTTGGTTTCCTTAGACTAAAAGTAAAGGCTAGATGGTTGGCACCATCTTATCACTTGATGATTATTTCCTTAAAATGTGATTTTTTTAATATTGTAGACTCTTGGGCTGGTGAGATGGCTCAGTGGTCTAAAGTACCTACTTAGAATAAGCTTAGCAAAGCACAGGGACCGCGGTTCAATCCCCCAGCACCACATGCCAGCCAGCCCCGCCCCCTGGTGGGCTGAGCTGGCCACACACACAAAATAAATATTGTAGACTCTTCACATAGGCCTAAAATGATTTTGGCGTGTTCAAACAGACCCTTCAGCGTATGGAGATAACGTCTTTGTGGGCCACAGGTCGGGGAGCACAAAAGTAAGATAAAACAGTGTCCTTAAATTGAATATGTAATATGACACATCTTCTGTCATAAGACTATGGCCAAGGCTGGGATTCATGTTCCCATCCCGAGTGAAGAGCTCTGACTTTCTGGTGATATGAGAAGTCACCCTAATGTCAGCGCTACACCTGCAGTGCCAGGTGTGTGCAGGTCAGGGGGTTAGTGGCTGTCACAAGAATTTTGGCATTAGCAAATCATTTAAAACCAGCATAAAGCAAAGCCAGATGTAATCTGTATCCACCATGTTTGAAATAGCAAATAGAAGACCTTGACCTATGTGAATCTTATCTCTGACAATGAAGAGAATCCTTTTTAAGCTTAAGTTATTAAAAGGCCATATTTTAGTTAAAAATTACTGGCGATATACAAACATCAAACAAATGAAACTAGAGAACACCACTAGGTTACCTTCCTAAGATGTCCTCCCAAGAAAAGCCTGGGACAATGGTGTCATTCTCAAACAACATCACATTTGAATGATGTCACTTCTGCAATGATGTCACTTTTGAGTGACATCACTTTTGAGTGGCTCTTGGATTTAGGCAGTAAAGTCTACAGTTCTCGTGGGTGCCTTGAGGACACCTGAGGCCACAGGTGTTAGGTACTGGGTCTCCAGTCCCTCAGACAATTAGTGGCACAGGGAAAACCAGAACCTGGATATCCAGACCCTCAAATGGTTGATTGTCAACTATAACCTAAGACAATATATCTATCACCCTAAAGAACTATTTGAATTAAAGAAAAGGAATTCTAATAGTTCGGATAATGTAATTATGGTTAAAAATGGTGGCATTATTTAAAATCAAATAGAAATGTCATTGAAGCATTTTCCAAATCGGATGTTCTGAGCCCTCCCTGAGAGCCCACCTGGTTGGTGAGGTCCGTGGCCTCTTTGATCCTGATTCAGCACCAGACTAAGAAGGAGGGTGGGACCAGCTGTGTTCAGCTTTGTTTGAGCACTATTTTTGTCTGGTTTCATTTCGTGGTGCTGGGAACTGAACTCAGTTGTGTCCTACCATGGGCTACATCGTTGGCATTTTTATTTTTTATTCTGAGACAAGGTCCCTTTAAGTTGCCTGAACTCATCATCCAGCCTCAGCATCCTGCTGTGGTCACTATGGGGTGTGAGCCACAGTGCCTGGCTCTAGGTAGTGTCTGTCAGCAGAGAAGGAGATGTCACGGAGAGACACATCCACATACCCTACAGTGACACAGCAATCTATACCTGAACCCAGCGCAACTGGGCGAAGAACATGAATGTTTGATAAAGCTGTAAGCAGGAGAGGCAAATGCTCATTGTTCGGATCTGACCAGTGCATAGCACGTCCACACTAACACACCCCATTAATATGTACAACAGCTGCACGTTAATAAGATGAGAATAATGTCAGTGCTTGCAAAAATAATGCTTTGGAGACTTCATGATTTTTTTTTTTTTCAAAATCGTGATTATGAGATCATACCTAGTTCAAACCCAATTAAAACTTTTTTGCTAAAGTTAATAATTGCTTTTCATAAGAGTATGATAAAGTTTAACTATTGACTATTCAAGATCTGATTGGGGGAACATAAGATTTCGCTCAGGGTGCTATAATTTGTTTTCTGTTGAGAACATCTGCATTAAGTATTAGGACTTCTGCACTAAGAACTTACATATCGACTTCCCAAGACAATAAAATATTTAAACATGATTCAGTAGCTTACTATTTTATATGATAAAAATAATAACAGAATAGATTATAGGGAATGATTTAAATCACAAAATTCCCTGGATAAAATGTCCTGCAGCTCCTCTGCTACATGATAGAGAAAGTCAGACAACCGTTTCAGGATAGATGCTCATTAAAAAATTCCCTGTCTCCTTCCATGCGAGCATGGGGATTTGGGGAGTAATTTGTAATTTTTGTCTTTGATTTTTTTACTAAAGGACAATCAAAATAATTGCTCTATCTTACGCACAAATTAATGTTCCAGTGGAAAGGAAGCTGAGTGTGTCACAGTGAAGAGATGTCACCCTGGGCCACCCTCATCACAGAGCCCGGAGTGAGGAGAGGTCTGGACACTGAGAGTTTGTTAGGACAGAATGACGTAAGTTGGAGAGAATGAGCTAAGAATGTGCTGAAGCCCCACCACTCTCTTTTCACCCATTAGGGCAAAAATCTTCCCATAGGCGGGCAGCTAGGTTCACATCAAAGTGAAGAGCACACTTCCTAGTGGCAACTGTGAAGTTGGGCTTGGGGGACAAGACCTGCTGTGGTGCCCTTTCAGGAGTGACAACTGTCACCTTACCTTCTAAACATCCTCCATGCCAGTCACTGTAGGGACCTGAAATCCTAGTGTTTACCAGAATAAGAGTCATTTTCCCCTCCAACCCACTGGCATGATCTGTCCCCCATCTCGCACATCTGACCTCTTCCCACCACTGCCTGGTCTCTGCGTGGGCTCTATTTCCCAGGATGTTTTTTTTTTTTTTTTTTTTTTTTTTTGTTGGTACCAGGAGTTAGAAACAGGGCCTGTACATGGAGCTACATCCCCAGCATTTTCATTCATTGCATTATTTTGAGACAAGGTCTTGCTCACTTGCCCAGGTGGGCCTTGAACTTGTAGTTCTCCTGCCTCAGCCTCCCAGCGCTGAGAGTGCTGGGATTGCAGGTATCTTCCACAACCCCCGCGTAGCATCCACTCGCTTAATGCGTGAACCCTGGAGAATCTACAGGCAGGGCAGCGTGTTATAGCTTGATTACCCTCCCAACCTTCCCAAATGAGAAAGTGAGGGAGGAGGAGTCCAACATTCCCCTGGACCAGCAGGAGGAGGCAGGGCACTGCAAACACAGCTCAAGGTGTCTTCATCAGAGCCATCCTATGATACCCCCACTGCTCCTGGGAGGCACTGGGATGGCTTATGGCTTGAGAACGTGTACAAAAGCACAAAGACAGTTCCTTGGGAGGACTCCTAGAAGTGAGAAGGCACATAGATGTGCCCCACACCTTGTTCCCTGAGCACACCTGCCCATACACGTCCACCATCTGGGGTGGCACTCTACATAAGTCACTCAGACAGGACACTGTGAAAAATGCAGGCATTACCTTCTGTGTCTTGCATATTTGCCACTAACGTGACCACTGCCATCACAGCCAGGAGTGGGGCAGCTGAAATAGGAAAGAGTCAGTTACACGGGTGGTACGTGCTGCAGGTGGGGACGCTGAAATTCCACAGTGTCACTGAAGAAGGGGCAGTCCAGGCTGCAAGGAGACACAGCCCAGGGCGGGGGTGCCTTTTATTAGCAGGTCTGGAGGATTAGTCTCATCAGTGTGGTAAGGCACAAGCAAGCTGCCCAGGACCTGGGAGCACAGCACACCCACTCTAAGGCAAAAATTTCCCAAACAGCAAGCAGGGACATGCTTTACCCACCGAGCACTGACCTGAACAGCTCCTGCACGGCCGGCTCCACGGGCACTGCAGAGAGATGGAAGACAGGTCAGGATTGATCATTCGTCACCACTGTCCCTCTTCAAGACAATCACCAAAAGGGTGGAGCTCGGAGGACATCAGAGTGAACCCCAGAGTGATTTTGTAGGACCAAGGTGACTGGAGCTAGTCTTGTGCTGCAGGGACGTACCTCGAACCCCTTTGGACCGTGTGCGATGGCGCTTCTCCTCGGTGTCCACGTCCATCTAGGGAGAGACAGCAGGTGGTCAGTGTCCGGGTCCTGGCTGTGCCAGGCACCGCTGGCTGTGCCTGGATTTAGTCCCTGAGCAGCAGAGGGGCCAAATAATCTAATGTATTATTTAAAAACAATAAGCAGACCTGGATTGCACGGGGCATGTTTAATCAGCAGGCCTCTGTACTCTACAGTTGGGTGGGCTTTGGTGAGTCTGGGAGAACAATCCATTTATTGTCTGGTCATGGATTTGCTTAAGACACATGCAGGCAATCTGAGTTGTCCTTTGTACCAAGAATACGATGGATAACTATTAAGATCCTCAGCAAGCAGAAACCTATCTAGGGTCTCCTTGCACCCAACAGGTTTAAGTAGTTAGGGCAGGTAGAGCAGAAGGCTTTTTTTTCTTTTGCCACCTAAGAGCTTCCTCTCAGTGCTGTCTCATTCCCAGAATGCAATTGTCCACATTTCTCTAAATTGTATTCAAGCCCTCTAACTCCTGTCACTGACCCTCTTCTGCAATGAGATCTCAAAGCCCTTTCCTGTGCTTCCTTGTGGAAACTTCACAACAGTTCTGTAAGGGATTATCATATCTATTTTATGTGTGAAAAAATTAGAATTTCAGGATATGTTCCTTGCTTGAGCCCAAATCTTTGCTACAGGGATCCTGAAATCACACCTGTCTATAAATGTCCTCCTTAGACCACAGGAACACATGGACACATGTGAGTATATATGGGCATGTTTGTCCACCAAATATCTGGTGACTTTAAATTTTAGAAGGCATATTACAGTAGAAGACACACTGCCATGAATTCTCCCTTAAAAGCTTCCCCTTCACATCCATATCCCATTGTTTTTGCCACTTTCTGCAGCTGCTCTGGAGTCCTCTTTCCTCAGTATCTTTAGTTGTCCTCTCCTGCTTGCCTTGATGTCCTGAATGGATATAAAATGTTTCCCTTTCATGGTCATTTTGACTTTGGGGAAGAGCCAAAGGTCACATGGTGCCAGATCTGGTGACTGAGGTGGATGAGAACACAGTGTAGCGTTCCTACAAGCTTGCCCTTCTGTGGGATGGTGCTCAAGAGTGGCGTTCAAAGTACTTTTGTCACACTTGGTACAGACACTCAGGAAAGGGGTCTCCAGAGCTGCTGCAGAAGAGGCAAGTGTGTGCTTGAAATAAGGGGGAGGATTTTGAGGGGGCTCATGGCAATGTGTCTTTTACCGTAACAGATTCTTAAAACTTCAACGTCCAGTGTCTGCTGAGATCACGACTGGTGTATGTTCACTCTCTGTACACTGAGATGACTGGGGGCTTGGTAGACGGCCCCTCCTGACCCTATTGCTTGGGTAGAACTTTTCACCTCCCTTCTCTGATTCCTTCTCCTTGCCCAGCACGGCCAACCTGTGCTCTTCGACAGAGGATGGGGCACTGGGGAATCTTGTCTGTACCCAGCCTACCACAGAGACAGCAAAACCACTTCCTGTGTGGCTTATGAACCACAGCAAGGGCAGAATGAAGAAGCCTCTGTTTAAGGCCCATGACCTGGGTAGGCATATACTTCAGAGTGGGGGCTGATGTGCTGGTTTCTTTTTTTCTTCTTGGTTGGTTGACTGGTTGTGTTTTGAGAAAGGGTCTTATAGTGTAGTTCAAGCTGGTCTCGAACTAACTATGTAGTCCAGGCTGGCCCTGCACTCTGAGCAACCACCCTGCCTCAGCCTCCCCAGTGATGGGATTACAGGAGTGTGTCGGTACGACTGACTGGACGGTTTCCATGAACTAGGAGAATTCGTGCTTTCTCTCCACAGGTGTGCCATTAGGGCTGCGTGAAGTCACATCTGCAGCGCTAGGTTCAATGCTGTGTCAGTCTACCACCAAACATTTGCTTACGAATATGGTATGCTGGATGTGGTGTTGGGATAAAGAATGCAGACAGGAAGAGCCCCCGGAGGCTGGGGTGGACTTAGTGTCTACTGATGGGAGACATCAATTGCAGACCTAACTTCATAAGAAACCGGATTTAGCATGAGAAGAACTCCAGAGAGGGAGGAGACTCGGTAGTGGCTCCTCAGCAGGAAGAGATTTCCATGCTAGGGAAGTCTGTGCTCGGGCATGGGAGGAAGACAAAGACACTGCGGCAGCGGCATGAGTGAAGGTGCCTGGAGCATTTTAAAGAAATGAATGAACGAATGAATCCACTGGTTGGGGAGACTGTAAACCGAGAAGGCGGCAGAAGCTTGGCAGAGGCTGCAAAGGAGCATGGCGTGGAGCAGGGAGGAGCACGGGCTCTCGCGACCCAGGAGAAGTGGGAGGGGCCCATGGAGGCCTGACAGGCAGCACCGGGTCGCAGCAGGGCCAGCGAGACAGAGCTGCGCTTGCTTCCAGGGAACTTTTGAGAAAGACCAACATAGTCACAGCTTGAGGAGACTGCAGATGAGCAGGTTGAGGGCTCCAGTGCTGGTCTTCATTGCAGTGCGGATGGGGCTGTCATCTCCGTTGACCGGTGGCCCTGCCCCATGCTCTCTCATTCCTGGGATGTGACTGTTCAGGGAAGTAAGATACAGGATGGGGTAGACATGTCCCCAAGGCTTTTTGTTGGGAAATTTATGTAGCACAGGGCTTTGCAAGCCTCTTTGGGTGTCCTGCCCTGCGCGATTATCTGGCATGAGCGTTGGGGAAGAAGTCACCGCATGGGGAACCATAGTTCAAATTCTAAGCGTCCCTGAGTGACACTCGAGGCTCTGTAATTGCTGTCAGCATGTAGAATTTGTCCAAATACTGCAACATTTTAGCAAAGTGGTACAGGACCCGCCTGGCATATGGCAAACACATGAAGACTCAAGAAGCCTGTGGTGATGTAAGGAATACTGCTTTATTTTATATCCTGCAGAAATTGTGTGCTTATTGAGGTTCACTGCAACTGTCTCAGGACTGGGGCTGCAGATACAATGGGGTAAGATCCTATGATTTCAGGAATGCAGAACTGAATTAAAAATTTTGTGAGTGGAGAGGTGAGAAGCATACTGCAGGTGGCACCGGGCAAGCTGGGAGGCAGTGACCCAGGGGAGAGGTGGAAATCAGAGCTGGGTTTTAAAGGTTAATTGGATGTTTTAGGTTTCATCATTACTGGGGGGCAGGACTCTAGGAAGGGGGAGCGAGATGTACAAAGAGCCCAAGGCTGAAAGGCTTGCAGTGTATTCCAGCAAGCCATGCCTGGGCTAGGGGTTGGGGGACTGGCATAGGGTGTCCTTCATAGGGTATGTGCTTATCAGTCTTCAAGAAGTAACAGGGCTCAGTGTCACCTGGGGATCACCTTGTTTATTATACTGATCCAGCATTTGATGCATAAATCTGCATTATGATTCCTCCAGCTCCATTTGGGGAAGGAAGAGTTAATCCAAAGGGCACTAAGCCTAGCTTTTCTCTGTGAGCATAAGACCGTTAGGACTTCTTTCACAAACTGCTGTATGGTTGGCTAAGAACTGTTTCTCTTTTGCATACAAATTCTTTATCTTTTGAGCCCTGGTCCTTTGCAGATATGGATGTCATCTCCTCCTGGAGTGGGGTAGCTATCCTTCCACTTGCCACTTAGTGAAGCCAGCCTGTTATTCCCATGCGGTGGGCAGGTCCCCTTTGCTCTGTGCTGACTCCCCAGACACAGCGGGGTCTACTCTCAGATGCTCTCTCCTCCCGAGTCTGCTCCTTTCTGCAGGGCTTTCACTGCTTGGTCACAGTGGCTGTCAACTATGTTTTACTTTCTGCCAAACGTGACCTTCATGTTGTGAAGATAATTTATCCAGAGTGTCCAGCACACAACACGCGGTGGACACTAAGAAATGGCGATTGCCTTTCCTTTCTCTTTCAATGGAGGAAGCTGTGCTTCAAAATTGCTTTCAATTTCACTTTTAGGGCCATGTTTACTAAGTGCAAATGGCCAGGTTCAGATTCAGCAGAAAAGCCTAAAACCCGCAGCCCGAAATGCAAGAGGGTTTCTACTGGTCTACCTCTGCGGGGTGTGGTAGAAGGTTGCGGACCCCTACAGGCTCAGGAGTGGGTAGTGTTTCTTCTAGGATCCAGACCCCATTCCCACCTGCTGCCTCAAAGCCAGGCCTCTTTCATTAGCAGACTCCAGTAGCTCTGGTTTGGGTTCATTCTTCCTGTGGCTTTGAACCTGAGCTGCAGGCACTGCATTTCGTTCCACCAGGAGACTTCTATCACAATCTATTCTGATCTCCAGGAGACTGGAGACTCTTAACCGCAGGCATCATGGCTTGGATTTCTGATGACCCTTCAACAATTTTTATGTAGGAAAACCATCCTTAAAATGCATGACTTTTTAATTTTTAATTAATTTTTTTTTTAGGTACTGGGGGATTAAACTCAGGACCTTACCCTTTTAAGGCAATGCTTAAGGTTTTCACACTGACCAATCTATCCCCAGTTCCCTTTTTAAAACTTTCTATTTTGAGACAAGGTCTCATTCAGCTGCCTAGGCTTGTCTCCAACTCGAGATTCTCTTGCTTCAGCCTCCCAGAGTATTAGAAATACAGGCTTGTGCTCCTATATAGGATCCTGGGGTTTATTTTGAAAATGACAGCTCTTTTTTGAGGAAGGTTAAGTGATTTTGTACTTGAAAATTTTAATGTAAGAAATTTATTTTGTGCCAACAAAAGCTGTTAGGACTGACTCTTTGAAGAGGGAGCAAGTGAATTATCTTACAATGTGTAAACCTTATTTTGGCAACCAGGATTTATTTTAATGACTTTGGTCTCCCTTCCTCTTTTCTATCCATAAAATGTGTACTTTCCTCAAGTTGAGCTTCAGTGAAGACAATATTTTAAATGAATCAAAATCACATAAATTTTGTGCAGTTCCTTGGTGCCTGGGAGGCTGGCTTTTGATGCTGAGGGCTGTGGGGATCACAGCCAGGGACCCTCCATGAGCTGTACTTTGGTCTCAGTGTCTGAGATGTCCTGTCAGTGTCTGCACACTAAGGAACCACCGTCCCTACC